ATACACCCCACTGTCCACATGGGTTAGGATTTATTTGTTTTATAGCACACATTTTAAATTTGGTGCCTGTTGGACCGACAAGTAACGAGACGCATGCGCATGAAGTCAGAGAGCATGAAGAAAGCATACTGGTAGCACTACACATAGTCGGTATGACAGATTTCCTAACCTGCAGAGTCGTCAACTTTAACGCTAAATATCTCGGTTCGCGAGGCAGAGCGACACTTTTTTCTGCCAGATTCTTTCGTTTTGTGCAAAAACGCGTCGAATAAGCCTAATTTCATCGAAATCGGAGGTGAGGGAGGTATTCTGAATAATTACCAAATACTTTTTAATTTTGTAAATACATATATGTAGATATTTTCTAACAAACATAATAAAAAATATAAGTACTTGTGTTATTAATTAGTGATTATTTATATTTTGTTATAGGCAACATTTGTCGTTCACCGATAGCAGAGGCTGTATTCCAGAATGAAGTGAACAAGAGAGGTTTGCAGGATCAGTGGAAGGTAGAAAGTGCTGCCATTATAGGATATCATACAGGTAAAGGACCAGATACTAGGGCCCGGGATACGCTAACAGAAAATGGAATCACTGATTATTCCCATACAGCACAAAAAGTAAGATTTTGTATTTTTAAGGATAAACGTTAAAATTTTATTATCACGATTGCTGTAATAGCAATTAGCTTGGATTTTCTATGCACTGGGTAGTCTTATGATTAAATTTTTCTTGTGAAAAAAGAAAATAAGATAAATCATTGTAATTAGATGAATTATTCAATATTTATTTAGAATTATTGGAACCAATATTATATTATATTACTACATTATTGTATATTATAATTACGTACAGATCGAACTAGACGACTTCGACAAATATAATTGGATATTTGGTATGGATCAGGAAAACATTAAAGATTTACTCAGTAGAAAACCAATGACTTGCCAAGCAAAAGTGGAGCTTCTAGGAAGTTATAATCCAAGCGGAACAATTATAATACGAGATCCATATTACGTATGTCACCTTTTGGCATTTATAAAATTAGGAAACAAAAATTGAAGATACATTAAATTATTCTCATGATCTTCTTACAGGATAGCGATAGTGCAGGATTTCAGAAAGCTTATGATCAATGTGTGACATGCGTAACAGCATTTTTGAACAAACATTCAAGTTAATGCGAAGACTTTTAAAGAATCAATTTACCTATATATTTTTAGAAGAACATGTAAAATAATAGGTACAAAAATTTTAAATATTGAATTTATTACAAAATAGAATGTTTTTAAAGAATATGTCCATATTTAAATATAGAAAAATAAATATTGGTATAACACCATTCATAAGACTATTGTAAACCTATTGGTATGTTCCACGATAATCATATAAGAAAAAGATGTGAGAAATATATAAATGTTAAAAAATTATATGTAAAGATAATATACGTTTTTTTCTCATTCCAAGATGCTTTTAATTTATATTTTCACAGCAATAATTGTATGTGAAAAATTACATATATATATAAAGAATAAGAATTTTTTTATTTAATTTTTTTTAGACTAGAATTATTTATTTTTTAATTTTCAGCAGTAAATATTTCAGCAACAAAGCATTGAATGAATCTTTTGGAAGTGTCATTAATTCATGTTTCTAAAATCTAATGAAGGCTTAAGCTTCCTTATTTAATCACGCTTGAAAACTAATTTGCAATTATATTTTCATGAAGGGTTTATTATCTTATTTCATCATGCTACAGTAGTGACATAGTATATTGTCAGTGTCCTTCGACAGTCCCAGGATATACTCCCGAGGTATATTTTTCTAATTTTCAAAACTTATCCCTAAGTGATGCAATTTCCCGCTCACTTGTAACCTTGCAGCACGTTACATGTGGAGGGAGATAGATAGGAATAGCTTATTGGCAAATACATTGGTGCGCTTGCCAGGCTATCTCCGTCTATCTTTCTCCACGTATTGTAAGCGTGCTGTAAGCGGGCGTGAAGTGACATCAACAATTGTCAAACATAATCAGGGTACCTATCATGGAACATGTCGAAATGAATTCCGATCGGAATTATTTCGTTTTTCCTAGAAAACACAATAGAAATCTAGGGAATAATTGAATAATTCCAATCGGAATCCATTCCGACTTTTTCCATGATAGGTATCCTGGGGTGCTTTCCAGCAAGGACATCTACTGACACTGTGTAACACAGTGGCTACGTTTACATCGTGCATTTAGGCTGCGGCCTATACAATAGATAGGACATCTACAGGACACCTACAGGATAAACAAGGACTGTTTATCCTGTAGGTTAAACAAAGACACCTATCGTATAGGTCGCGGACTAAGCGCACGGTGTAAACGTAGCCTATATCCTTGCTGGAAAGCACCCCTGATCGGATGGTGCAGAGGAAGACAGTGGTCTTTTTAGTGGTCTCCACTAAAGATAGATATTAATAGAAATTTTCAGTGTACTTTTATTTTCTTACCTACTAGCAAGAAATCAATATGATGCGAAAGAAGAAAATTCTTATGGTTTGTTTAGGTATTGTAACTTACTTATTTTTAATTATAAATTGAATTTGTCGAATTGTCGCACTTGTTTTAAAATATAGAATATGGAAATTAAGAATGTGTTCGGAGAGACGTACCTTTAATATTATTCATATTATATTAATACTTTGCGTCATCTTTGTTTTATGTCTATGATGAAGATAGATTAATACAATTAGCCTAAGTAATTATTGTTATCCCAATAATTTTCTTTTTTATAGAAAAAAAATACAATTGAAATAAGAATTATAACTACATATCGGCTGCATTTCGTTATTCACTGCAAGTATTGAAAATCTACTATACGATAGATTTTCAGTACTCGCACTAAATAATGGAACGCGCCTACTGTAACACATACATGTGATGAAATAATTTCTTTAGGGAGAGGCTCTGAGTTATTTCACGTAAGGTTACAGTTTTCTATTTCTAAGAGTTTTGTAATTAATATAATGCATGCAATGTACATAACTCGCCAAATTAAAGTATAGCTGAAAGCGGTCTTGACTTACAATCAACCCGCATGCATTTCAAAGTATTTCAACAATGACTTAAACTAGAATTTCAATATTTTATTTTGAATTAACATCTTAATTTTTCACGCAGGGAATAGTTGTCGCTCTCCTATGGCGGAAGCAGTGTTTCAGGATCAAATCCGAAAAATGGATTTGACAGATTTCTGGGAGGTCGAAAGCGCCGCTATTCTGGAATATCACGTAGGCAATGATCCTGAACCTAGAGCGACAGCTACACTTCAGAAAGCCGGAATTACGGATTACTCTCATATCGCAAGAAAAGTAAGTTAAGCTTAATAAACAGGGCTTGACAAGCAGAGACAATAAAAACAGAGACTAAAGATAAATGAAGATTTCAAGATAAATTAAAATTTGTTATTCCCTGTTTCTATTGCCAATACTCTTTAATTGTGTCTCAAATTTTACAATTTAATTTGATTCTCCCTTCTCTTTGTCTATCAGTTTTACATGGTTGTTAGACAAAAATATTTTCCACGGCAATATGTAGATATACAGAGATCTGAGACAGTATTATATCAGGAATAATTTGCAGATCACGACCGACGATTTTTACAAATTCGACTGGATATTCGGAATGGACGAATATATTATCCACGCATTGTGTGACATGCAACCGAAAGATAGCCAAGCAAAGATAGAACTACTTGGGAAATACGATCCAGCTGGAATAATTGTCATAAGAGATCCTCTCTTTGTATGTATCACGCGATAGACTTTGGCTGTGTTGGGTTTCGATAAACTTTATTCTATCTTTATTACTCATTACTTGTAGAAGATAGAATAAAGCTTACAGCTCGTGAACGAAACAAAAAAAATGCACCCTCTATAAAAGTAATTTTAACGAGATAGATAATATGTTGTTCTGCTGTCAAATTTATGAGTATAATTAGCGAGGGTTTGTTTGTCGACAGGATGTTGGTAATGCCGGATTTGAGAAAGCATTTCAACAAGCTTTGAGAAGCGTACGCGTATTCTTGGAAATTCACAAAGTATTTCTCATTTCATCTTTCTAGTATTTATATATATTCTAAAAAAGATCGTCCAATTTTTTACGCGATCTCTGCAATTAACGAGTTATTAAAAAAAAATCTTAATATCTTATTCCAAATATTCTAGACTTTTATAACTAACTCAAGTACGTTTTCTTTACAGGATAATATACTCGATAAATCATAAGAAAAAAAGATGTAAAAAATTATTTTAGAAATACTGAAAATAAGAAAAGAAATTAGGAATTAAGTTTTACCTAATTTATTCAGCTTATATATTGCAGAGTATTTATAAAATAAATAAGTTTATATATATATATATAATAGAGTTTATATATATATTTTATATAGAGTTTATATATATATTTTATATTATATATAGTTTATATATATATAGTAGATTCATATGTTTATTATATTCACGAAATAAAAAGATATCCTTTTTACTTTCTGCTTTTCCATCAAGGTATGAACGCATCCTTATGTTTACGAGCGTTATACGCTTCTAAATGTCGAGCGGCATTTGGACTTCGCGCGGGGCGAGCGATGAGAGGAGTAGCGGGAGATGGAGCCTCTCGAAAATCTGCCAAGAAGTGCAAATTTTGCCGAGCCCTGTTTTAAACTGTTTAAAACACGTTTAAAACATTTTTTACCAATCCTGGAAGAGACACATATATTAGTAACTTCAATTACTAAATGGAGCGCTTGTTCTGCTTAAACGAGGAAAAACCGTGTATGTGGAGCGCAGGCAAAATCTAACCCGGATCCATAGATCACGAGTCAATCGCTCAGAGCGTGAAGTCACTCGATTCCCCGAACAAAATTTAATTCGAGATTCATATCAATTGTTATAAACAAAAAAAAAAGAAAACAAAAAACCGATCTTTAAAGGAAAAAACGCAGATTTTGTGTAAATGGTTTTATTACTCTGAATTAATTGTGTGCAAAAATTTGATGAAGCAATTTCGCTGAAAGGAAATCCTTATATAGTCTCTATCTACTTTCTATATAAACAGTATATACATATATCAATGTAAATCTAATGAAGCATATACTCGTCCAGTGCCGAGCTTCAAGATATCTAGGTCGTAAAATGCTTTATTTGTAGATTTTGATTTGCGCCAATTGCATAATTTGTTTCCTCGAATAGAGAAATTTAATTAATATCTACATCTCACGTTGGCAAATGTCAGCTCGAGCGTAAATTCTTTCTGACTTTTGCCGCCACGGCTTCATGAAGGTGCTAGAACGAGATGTGGAGAGAATAAGTTGTCAAACATGAAATATGATAAAACATGCCAATTTTTACATATTAGTTTATCAAGCTTCTACATTCTCATACATTAAATCAATACAATCTAAAATAAAAATATTAAATTAAGACAATCCTAGGAGTGTTTAAGATTTAAAAAAATACAATAGTTATTAATTTTTAAATATTAAATTAATGAAATTTTAGAAAATTTCAGAGATTTTTTCTTGTTCTAAGGAATGAAAATATTCGTCAAACTAATTAAAAACTTCGAAATTTGTACAGATATGAAATACTCCAACCCGATAATTAGTACAATTATTCGCTGTTAAATCTTATAATTATGCATTAAAACAGGGAAATTGTGCGTTAAAAATGTATTTAAAGGACGTTATCTAATTCAAAGGAAAGCTGATGAAATTAGCCGTAATTCTCGCAAAATCTGATCGCTATGTTCCGAGCCGCCGCAAAAAGATTGATTACAGGCTGCGGAACGTACATTAAATTAGATAGGGATTGAAACGGGAACGATAGGTGATAATTGCATCGATACGTTCACGTTAAGAAATATAATGATGTCATTGAGGTGAGCAAATGCAGGATATTTTGCATATTGCAGAATAATGAATGTAATCGCGATGCAAGAATGTTCATGTATGTTAATAAAACAAGCATATCTCGAATAAAAATATTAAACCATACGCGCGGATTATGAAGTCTTATACCAATTCCACAAATGTATATTAACTCTAATCTCGATTCAACTTAATGACTTGATTATTCATTTTTTTTTAATTCTTAGATCGAAATAGAAAAAAATGAAGGATATTAGTAGAATCGAAATTAAAATTGATCTACATTGGTAGAAAACGGGTTTAAAGTTTAAAATTAAATTTAATTTAAAATTTTGAAGTTAAATTTGAAATTATTTCAAGTTATTTTAATCAAGCTAAAATCAATTATATAAAAGTCACAGATCAAGTTTGTCGTATAAGGAAAATTCCACGTGATATCAGTCGGACATCGTGAAGTTGGTCGCGTAACATCACAGGCGCATCGTTGGAAGATCTCCCCTCTCCTTATTATTAACCACGTTCCTTAGCGGTTAACTACGAGATCTAGCATTTGTATACATGTTGAACTTATCGAAATTATTTGATAGTTCAAATGTACAATTAGTAAACATAATCTTTCATTCATCGTGTGATTCATACTTGCGATTCGTTTTTAAATTAAGTTTGTTTAGAATTTGTCTGCTGAAATGCGGAATGTGGTTACATCACGTTCCCCAACTTCAGGTAGATCGCGTCACCTGCACTTTCCATGTGCAAGTGTATCATCTGTTTATAAATTTCCCTCTCATAAAGAGGAAAATTTTATAAGACATACGAAAAGAATTCCTCACAATTGAACCCTTCATTTTTCCCTTCTTTTTCCTTCAATGTTCTGTTTGTCTTATTTATCCATTTCATCCTAAATGCAGAAAACATATGTAATGCGGTGCAAGTGCGGGGAGCAGACCTCTCTTTTTTCTCTCTCCCACTATTCCCACACTCTCACACATAAGTAAACATGCGTCAATGTGGCTACACGTGTAGTACGCGTTGCGTTAGTTGAGCACAGAAACGGAAGGATCCGTTTCACGAGTGTCGAGCCCACGGTCGAGCCTGGTCGAGCCTCTCTCGAGTGAAGTGTGCTGCAATAGGGAATCACCGCGGTGGAGAGTGGGGAATCACTCGCGCGGCGCGATTCGTTCCTCGGATCGGGCTATAAAGTAATGCGCTGGCGAGCGGAACGCACGGAATTAGGGCTCCGAGATACCGCGTGCGGTGCTACACTGCTACATGCTAGCGATGGCTGACGAAACGTCGAGGGATACGTTGCTGAGTCGCGTGAAGGAGCAGGGGGAATTGGTGCGACGATTAAAAGCCGCAAAGGTCGATAACACGCAGGTACGCGAACTCAACCCTTCAAACCCTTTTCCCTCCTCCTTCGGGGAAATCCCTGACGTGTCGTCTGCCCGTGACACACACAGATGTACTTCCTTTCTCTTATCCTCGGAGGGGGCTCCGCACCTCTCCGCTCCACATCGCGCTCAATTACACCCTGTCATCATGTTACCTTCACTTACTTCCGCGAAATCGACCGCACTCGAAACTGGTCTTTTGGTCTTTTCATCTTAAGCAGCTACCTCAAATGTTTTTGTCTTCCACGTTGCATCATGCTCCCTCCCATGTTTCGATCTCCCCTTCACGTCATTACCAGGTCTGTTGGCTTCAGCTGCAGCTTCCACGCTCAACTTTCTTCTCATTCTGAAGTCTAATAAAGCACGAAACCGATTCCTTTTTTCTAATAATGAAAGTGCAGTTAAAGCGAACAGACCTTTTGTAACAATGGATATGATGCAACAAACCCCTTGCAATGTAACAGCAATTTTTATCGAGACAGGTGCAAAGAATAGATTTCTCTTTCCCTTTTTGTCACCAATGTTCTAAGATCATTGAAGCCTTTCTTTAGAGAGACGTCTCGTTTCTCAGGAATACAGAGAGCAGTCTGATATAAATATTGAGTTAAAAGGCTTAAATGATGATTTTGCGGATATCAGCTATGTGTGTGGTTGGTGTCCAACGTCCAAGGACGCCGAACTGTTCTACATGTTGCGTATCATCCTTAATGGTGAGCTTGCAAGGTGGCCGCATCTGAACAGATGGCATATTAACATGAAAAGCTTTAGTCAGAGCTAAAGGGCACTAACTATATTAGCAAAAGTATGCTAGACAAAAAGGTGAGGCAGCTGGTTGCTTGCAAGCAGAGCTGTTATAAATTATTGCGAAATTGCTGTGGCTAACGTTCAGAAAAAGAAATTCTAACTGAGAAACCCAGTAGAAGCTTTTACATGGCAAAAATTGGATATAGTTTGGAAAGTTTGGAAAATGAATACATGTTTTATTTTAAAAAGTTGAATTTCCTAAAAAATTTCTTGTGTTTTCTTCCCAAATTCTGAAAACTTTAAAGACAAAGTTTATGGAGAAAAAGATTAAAGACAAACATTCTCTGTTAATTGTAGACTATGGCAATAATTAATGACAGCTTCATATTAGCTTGCTTACTGATATTATCTCTGCTGTTTGGACTAGTTTGATAAATCAAGAGATTGAGGGGGCTTTTCTCTTTCATTCTGGTTGCCTTGTAATTCCTTCATCCATTCATGATGTTACGCCTGATACGCAACAATTCTTTCCCCGTCGTATGGAAACGCAATCGCAACGTACTGATGTCCACGACGCCACAGGTGGGTACGACGTTCTCGACTTTCGTACCCTGGATATCTGAAAACGAGAGCAATGCCATGTTTCGAGTATTAATGACGTGTTTATTTGCCTGTTCGTAGATAGCAGAGGAAGTTGCCAAGTTGTTGGACCTGAAAGCACAATTGGGAGAAGAGAATGGTTGCCCCCATAAACTCATCCTCAAAACGCCAAAAGGCACGAGGGATTATAATCCGGAGCAAATGGCACTGCGATTGGGAGTGTTGGAAAAAATAATATCAGTATTCAAGCGTCATGGCGCTGAGACGATAGATACGCCTGTATTCGAGCTAAAGGTAAGAGTAAAAGTACAGGTTGTTAATAAAAGATTAATTCAAAATTAATTTCAATTTTATTAATATTAATACTGATCTTGTCACAGGATGTCTTGACAGGTAAATACGGCGAAGATTCCAAGCTTATCTATGACTTGAAAGATCAAGGTGGTGAGATTCTCGCACTTAGATACGATTTGACAGTTCCTTTCGCGAGGTATCTGGCCATGAGCAAGATTTCTTCTATTAAAAGATATCACATCGCCAAGGTCTACCGAAGAGATAACCCAGCCACAACGAAAGGCAGATACAGGGAATTTTATCAATGTGTAAGCATAATATATGCATATTATTACGTTCCAGGGATATTTCATTGACATTTTGGCATTGATATTTTGTACTAATTTAATTTGGTATCTTCAAGGATTTCGATATCGCAGGCCAGTATGATCCGATGCTACCGGATGTGGAATGTATTCGGGTTGTGTGTGAAGCATTGGAAGCTCTAAATCTGGGATCATATTTAATTAAGGTGAATCATAGATCTTTATTGGACGGCATATTCGCCGCGTGTGGTGTGCCGCAGAGTAAATTTCGCAGCATTTGTTCTTCCGTGGATAAACTGGACAAGAGTCCATGGGAGGAGGTAAAGAAAGAGATGACGGACGAAAAGGGATTGGATGAACATATTGCCGATAAGGTCGGCAAGTACGTTTCGCAATCCGGTGGAGTGGAACTGATAGCCGAATTGAGGAAAGACAAAGAGCTGATGAAACAGTCTGTCGCTGTGCAAGGTTTAGATTCTATGGAACTGTTGCTAAAGTACTGCCGCATCTACAAAATTCTGGACAAAATTAAGTTTGATTTGAGTCTCGCGAGAGGGCTTGATTACTACACTGGTGTTATTTACGAAGCTATATTGTGTGGTATGTATATTGATTTTTTCTTCCAAAATTTTTTTTTCTTATTACACGATGGAAATAATTTTAACACGAAATAATTCTAGCAAAATATTAATAGCATTTATTAATTCTTTATAGGAGACGATGTCGGTGTTGGTAGCGTAGCAGGTGGCGGCCGTTACGATAATTTAGTGGGAATGTTCGATAGCAAGAACAAAAATGTACCTTGTGTCGGCGTATCGGTTGGCGTGGAGCGGATATTCAGTGTTATGGAGGCGAAATTGGCAAACAAGGGTCTAAAAACGCGTACTACTGAGATCGAAGTATTTGTAGCGAGCGCGCAAAAGAATCTACATGAGGAGAGAATGAAGATACTGGTGGATCTGTGGGACGCCGGCGTGAAGGCGGAGCAATCTTATAAGAAGAATGCCAAGCTCTTGGCGCAGCTACAACACTGCGAGGAGAACGGCATCCCGCTCGCAATAATCATTGGGGAAGGCGAATTGGCGAAGGGTGAAGTTACATTGAGAGTCGTCTCGACACGAGAGGAGACTCGCGTGCCACGTAGCAACCTCATCGACGAAATACGGAGACAGCTAAAAACATCGTAGCATCCCCTATGCTCAACCTTTCGCTGTTGAGAGATCAGTACAAGAAAATACTTATACTGCATTTAGTTTCATTTCAATCCACGTGTCGGAACAGTTTATTTATTAGATTTTGCATGAATTTATTTGTATTATTTCGCACGATGTGCTACGACCGTGATAAACTTTTTGTCACCGATAGATGCTAACTGTGAAGTCTGTAAGTGAATGCACGCGCGCGCGCGAGGAAGTGTAACTACACTTACCACTTGTGAACATATAGGTACAATTTCTATACGAATAATCCTTTAATAATCCGAATTTCTCCGGGTGAAATCTAGAATTTAACCGGATCTTAAGTTAACTGGTAATAACGCACAGCTTCGAGTTACCGCTCGAAAAACCAAATACATCTTTATAATTTATTCTGCAAGAACTTATCAATAAAATACTGTAAATTTCGTAGACTGTGCCTCATTCCTTCCTTTACTATTATATATTCAAACATTGATTTCAAGATTTAGTAGAATAAATATGATCACACGCGAGTGACTGTGATAAATGTCCAAATCACAAGATCGTAGCAATAGTTGAATTGCAATATGAAATATTAATCTGCAAATTACTTCGAATGACATGATTTACGTAGCTTAATAATTTTTCGAATTGGGATCGGATTTTAATTCAGTAGATTCTGGATTCAATAGAAAATATTTTTTCTCCTTAATCTAATATTTTCACATGATTTACTTATATAGTATGTTTTCCAAATAATTTATTTCGGTTTAAATTAAATTGAGGATACGTATAGCTTACTCATTATATCACAGTCTTCTCTTATCAAGTTAAAATTAAATAACTAACCTCTAATAACTTGAATATTTTAATTTACTTACTCCTCTAATAATTATCATTATATTAGCACGCGTTATCTAGTTTCTCATATACATTTCTCATCAAAAATGTATCAAATTCGACTAGTTTGAAAAAAATTAGATGTTTTACATATTGATGAAGACAACTTACACAAAATCAGTCACCTAATCGCTGAATTATATTTTTTCCGGAATGAATGCATTTGTATAAAATTATATTTTTTCTACCTACAGTCTCTTTTCATAAATTACGTATCATTTTGAAGCAAAACGCAAATTAATTACTTATAGTAGAAAGTTTTCGAAGCAGCGTATAAAATTAGGATATTATTTCTTGCACAACAATATATGCAGCAAAACTGCAAATCTCTAACGGGCAAGATTCCCATACTGATTTCATATGTTATCCTTTTTTTATAATTGAGGAAAATAGATTTTTTGCAAAATGTAGAGTCAATCTTTTCCTAACAAAACTATCAAATCAATTATATCTGTAAATGTAGTTTGTATAAAATTGACTTATAAAAACTATTAGTTCTTGACATTTTTACTAATCAAATTTGATTCCAGATTTTTACTTTTAAAATTAGATAAAACACTAAGTTTCTTTAATTGTTGGACCTTTAGCATAGTATGAATTTATGTCCCTTTCTTACTTTTCACCAGGTTTCTCGATTTTAACTTCTTTTAAGTCCGTGTCTTCTTCCTTTTGACCAACCTTTGTCATAGCTCTGTATTGCTCGAATGGATTAATCGTTGGTTTTTCTATCATCATTTGCACCGATGGTTTGTATGAGTCTATCGAAACGCTGGGTTTCCCTTTTCTTGATTCTGAAGATTTTCCGCTACTCGTTGAAGCATTTAAATTATCAGTTACATCAATTACGTATGTATCATCCCGTTTCTGCTCCATTTTAAGCGAAACTTCTTTAGCATCCACATTCGTCTCTTGCATTCCTCTTTGAAGCGTTCTATCCAGCTCGTCATTGAATTTTACTAATTTTTGCTCGAACGTAGAGGAGGATAACGGTTTGTAAATCGGTTCACAAACTGGTACGGAATCACCTTGAGGATATATTTCATCCTTATGCATGCTTAAAATCATGGATTCATTTAATTCTGTGGGTGGCTTATTGGAAATCTCGAAAACGAAGGGATTAATCGATGAAATTATGCTTTCCTGATCCTTCCATGGTGCAATTTGCTTGTCTTTCGAACTTGAAGGAACTACCATGGAATCCTGAAGTTCGTTTTTCGAAATCATATTCATTTCCTCCGCCGGCGATATGATGGTCACCGTTTTTGGATTGCTCGGTTTGCTAACGTCAACGGTCTTGGTGTTATCTATAGCGAGAGGACTGAGAGGAGAAGCAGTCTTTTCACGTTTATTGGAATGAACATCACTGAGACTGTACGCCCTGGCGCGACGACGTAGATTCATCTGAGTGATCTGTCGCTGAAGCATACCCGCTTTCCATTTCGGCAGCGGTTTAGGCGTGTGCAACGGCGAAGATGTGGTGCTCGTCGGACTCGATTGCATGTTGAGTTGAGCAGGTCTTATGGAGAAACGTTGATTATTGGATGGCTGTTGGATCGGGAACGAAATTCCCGGTGGTCCCTCCATATTCACGAGCGGTTCTTTCGGCGATACGGAAATGAAGGGTTCTAATGAAATAGGTTCTTGAAAATGTCGACCATCCAGTCTTTGAGAGAGTCGTAGCTGAAAAATAAAATTTTGTTTTATAAAATAAGTTTTAAGATTACTTTCGTTTATATTAAATTATTAATTATTGTATACACTATTATGTCTTATATTAAAATTTATTTCAAGATTTTAAATTTATAATAGTTGTGATTTTATACTTGTGAAATTTTATAAAAATGATTTTCGGTAATGCAAGCTTACCGATAATCGTGGTGACCCTAAATCAGGTGGTGTCGGAGGACTCACTGGAGTCGCGACTGGCCTCAAAGAGAATCTCCTAGGTTTTACAGGAACACTTCCTTTTCTGACGTAGGATGTAGGCGTACTAGAGCCAGAATTATCAGTAGACAATTTGAGAGACATTCTCCTGATCGATTGCGCTCCCGTGACGGTGTTCTGATTGCTCTGATTTGCCGAAACAGAACCAGGTGCATTTGAGAAGAGTGTGAAAAGACTAGGTAATTTTGGCGGGTTCAAGCTGGCCGTTCCTAATTTTCTCTTGGGTTTGGTAACATAATCATCGGGAATCGTTCCTACCCGTGCGTGAAATGCGGTTAATGCTCTAAGAAATTCTGCCAGGCTCGTCTCTTCCAGTATATTGTTGTTTTCCAGATAATTCGGCAGGTTGCCACCGGTATGTGTATAGTAATGCGGCCTCCTCGAGATCGAATCGTGCCTTTCGTCTAAATACGAGGGTAGTGGACCAATCGAATTATTTTGCTGATTGCTCTTTTCGTTCTCATCCGTTATTTCAACGGTTTTCTCTGTATTTCTCGTATTAAAACTAACGTCCGACGACCTCTTATTCGCGGAATGTTTTTTCCACCTGGGAAAGAGGTTCTTGGACGCGGTAAGTGGCAAAGCGAGCGACGCGAATTTCTTATACGGCTTGTTGGGATTGTCCTTGGAAGATATGGTCGTGTCGTTATCCTTCATCATCTCTTGCAACTTCGTCGAGGCTACTCCGGACCAGGTCCATTCGGTATTACGTTGAACGGAATCGTCCTTCGTAGTATGTAGTCGTATTTCGCTGGCTGCCCTGGATCGAGGCTTCGAGAATGGAAACTTTTCACCGCCGATTGTCCAGCGAGAGACATTGTTGGCTGGGCCTTGATCGACCGATTTACTGTGTTGCGTCTCGTTTTGCGCGTCGGTTTGTTCCTCAGTTTGGTCCCACTCGAAGTCATCTCCTGGAGGTATGTAACCGAGGACGTTCACCAAGCGCGCCAAGAGCTCAGCCGGCTGCACTATGGCGTGCGCGGCGAATGTCGCGTTCTTATCTATCCTTTGAAGATCTGTCTCGGACACCACACGAGTCAGTTCGTCCTTTAAATATAACGCGTTATTTAAAACATAGTATTTAACAAGAGATGATAATATTATATTAAATTATTATGGCTTACCACTGGCACCACTTCGCTGTTAGCTCGTCGTCGTGGATGCGGTATGTGAGGTATGTCCACATATCCACCAATTGTTAAGTCTCGGAGATTCGGAAAACTGTTGCTGCGTGGGAATTTCGCCGGAGGTTCTTCGGACTCGTACTCATCCACATATACTCTCTGATAAAAAAAATAACAAACGTTGAATAAATAACCAACATTAAACGAATAATAATCGGTGCTTAGAGAGTTCATTAATAATATTAATAAAGATAATAATGTAAAAATTTATAATTGATAATTTACATACTATATTGAGTCACTATATTAATTACTAAAATATCTCAATTCATAATACGACAATTCAAAATATAACTGGAGTAATTAAAAAGCAAGTTATTCGACATGACAGATAAGATAATTTCATAATATTTATTAATAATAGAATTTTCTTAGGATTTTCAAATAAATTTAAATATAAGACAAAATAAAAAAGATAATGAAACAAAATTTTTTATAGAAATGTATAAAGATATTTTCGCAGTAAAATATGGTGGTTGGTTAAGATTATCTGATCTATCCAGGTTACTTACTTTGACCTTAGAGAGCTGTAATTCGTTGAAAACGCGGCGCAGGTAGTTGACCTCTTTATTAAACTCGTTCCAAATCTTGCTCTGTGTAAGCTTGAGATTCATCGCCAGTTTGTGCTCGAGCCTTGTAATTTTCTTGCTGCGCATACCACGAGCGATGAATGTCATTATCATGACGATGTAGCCCAGCCCGAAGGAGATCCAGCAAATTAGGAATATTTTGTACAAGGTGAAGAATGGACCGCTCCCCTTCGTATTGTCCTGGCCTGCGAGATTCAAGCAGAGAGTTAACAATAACGAATATTTTCTTCGTAGTGGAACAATTTCGTTTATCTTCTCCATTAATTTCCACTCGTGCTTGATTTCAATTGATTTTGAAAACATTTGCTTTGAATATATATGAACTTTGAATAATTTTTATTTGAAAGTTATGAACAGATGTTTTAATTGTATATTTATTGCTGATCGACTTATCTGTTTAATTCTTATATTTCATATTTTATTTTTAATTACATTTTTTATTAGCTGTGCTTGTATATAGCTGTGTGTTGTATATACAAACGCGCTACTTTTTATGGCGTATGGAAAGTATTACTTACGTGTTAATATCTGCTTCCCATGCGCGCGCGAGCATGTAATGATTGAAAACATTCATCTTTTAATTAGGCGGAACAGACAAGCTCATATTATAGATTGTATTCTTCAAAGCGATTGATGAGATATGATAAGACTACAAGTGAACCGTTTCACTGTTATTAATCAAGAAAGCTACCGAAATATCGAATATATATAGTCTCAAGTGACTCGATATTATCTAATCAAATAAAAAAATGTCATTAACTCTGAATTTTGTATTATCACTGAAAATAAGTAATGTAGCAGATTCGTATTTACTCATTTTTTAAAACAGAGCAAATATATCAATTTTTTTTTATTTCTTAGAATCTAAACTCGTAAAACTTCTTATAATTTTCTGTTATACACAGGTAAAATATAGAAATATTTTTAATTTACGATTAATTATGGTTTATTTTTCAATTTCCTACAATAATTTTAATTTATGTATTTCTTCATCCTATTGTTGCGTATATCTTTTTATAAATTTTTGAGAAGTATTATCCTGTTCAGTTAGTTATCGATTATATAATAACACAATAATATGCGTTTTATAATTATTCATACATGAAAAATTCTTATAACAGTATAGATAACATGTACATAAAATTCTTTTTGTCACGTCGTAATCGATACCAATTTTATCGCATTCCTGATGTTTTTACCATATTTTGAATTAAGACGATACGACTGATATCTCAATGATATATTATATCATTCATAGAATAAAAAAGCTATTTCTGAGAGCACGCGATTCTTTGACTTGCGCGCACAATTGCGAAAACAAAATCTTGTTCTTGTTAACGATAAAAAAATAAGTTAATCACACGCGCGTGTCTGAGGAATCGATAAGATAGAACTCTTACCGGCCACCAAATCGCCGAAACCGATGGTTGTGAGAGTGACGAAAGCGTAATAGACTGATTCATCATAAGTCCATCTCTCGTAAAAAGAGAACAGAATTGCCGGGAAAAAGATGAATACGATGAAGCCGGGCGTCAAGTATAGAAAGATCTGAGCGGCCAGTCTCATTATCTTACGCGTTTCGGGCGGTATCGACTTTTTGCAGGGATGATCAATGCTTGATTGACGTTGCTTATAGGACTTATATTTCTGATAGGCCTTGATGAATACGTGGCTGAAAAATTCTCCCAACTGCGTCAATAGGATTCCATTCATTGGGATACCAATGAGGCCGTAGAAGATCATTAAGATGCGACTGAGAGTGTTCGTGGGTGCCAAATTGCCATACCCTGTATAATTGATAATAATAAATCAATTACTCTGTTATAGCGTTTTTCACTGGCAGAACTGGTGCGCACTCAGTACACATTAAAGCTGTTGTACACTAATCTAATCTGAATGTAAAAGTGATATATCTAAATTAATAAAATACCCAACGTATATTTTATCAAATATCACAATAAAATTTATTGAAGATTTCACGGTTTAATTCGTTTCTATATTTTTATTAAACGTTCATCTTTACATCGATTTGTGTACAACGGTTTTAAAGTGCACTGAGTGCGCACCACCTCTGCCAGTGAAAAACGCTATTAGAAAGATAAAGAAGATTAATGAAGGTTATTGATAGAATGAAGGAAGCTATTGATATAGAGATACTTCTTCAAAAAAAAATTATTAATGTATAATTTAAAATCTATGAATTTTCAAGAAATATTTAAAAAATTATGTATAATAAAATTATAGCTGATAATTATGTCATTATCCCAATTTAGAGAAAGTTTAGAAACAAAGTGGTAATTCGACGAGTACTTATTCTCTGACCGTCTACAAGATACCATAAGGTTGCAAATATTTTTCGAAATGTCTGTTAGATCTCTGTGTACAAATGCGTAATAAAAGATATTGTAATCGCGTACAATTAAAGGGTACAGAAAAAAAATAACGCAAGGCTATAATCCATTGACTTTAGATAAAAACTGATTTGATTTAGAGATACGGTTTAAAGATCTACGCTATTTGAACATGTTAGATATCTACCGATAGTGCTGACCACCGTGTAAGCGAAATAAAAGCTATTGTAGTAATCCCATCGTCGGGGGATGACTTCACCCTCGCTGTAATTGGAGACGGACTTGCCGCAATAATCGGTGAGCTTTTGCAGAATTTCAGTCTCATTGTGGTCGAAACCGGATACATAGTGATCGTGAAGTAAGTCTGAAAGGAATAATTACACATACTTTGAAAAGCGGATTCATCATCGGATGATCTTAAATTTTATCTCGCACATCTGTGTAATCTTTCCACCGGATAATCCTTCTCTTTCGCCATCCTTTTCGAACAGGGCCGTTTTTGAGACAATTGGGCTATACGCACTATCTTATCAGCCGATATTTACCGTCTTATATTGCCGTCTTATATTGCCGATTTGTGCAAGCAGACTCGATCTGGACCTTCCGCGCATGTAATTGCAACCGGGACGCGACCGTATTTCGCTGCGTATCGAGGCTAAGAAAATACCAGGATGATGAAAATATCTATATAGAGAAAAAAAATTAATGAATAATCTTGTAATTACCACTTAATTTATTCTTCATCATGGAGCTTAGCCACCTGAGGTAGAAGATAATAGACACGATAGCGGATATCGCCACTTTTGATTCGTACGCGACGATTTTGACAGGAGTGGTCGAGATAATGATTTCGTAATCGATTTCGACGACACTGACACTGGCCGTCGAATTAATTCTTTCTGTTGTACGGCATTGTCCTATTGGACATTGACTACTCGAATAATGCTCTTTTCTCGCGCAAACAATTGCATCGGGCACGGTCATGCATACAAAACCCATTGATAAACAGCCGTGTCGATTTTCCGGTTTATTTACAAGGCTATTTATTATACAAAAGATTCGACGCATTTCGAGTTGCTCGTGCAAATTCAGTGTTTCGAGAAGCTCAACTTTCTGAAAGTTCAAAAAGTGTCTAACAAAGGCTATTCATAGTCTGCAATTCTTATTTCAAAGCCGTCTTCAGATGCTAATACAGGTGTCTGGTTCACGACATCCTAAGATTACATTTAAGAATCTTAAATATAAAAATCGACTATGAATACCTAAGGTGACTTAAGAGTTTAAATCGCATCCGAAGAAGAAAAAGATTTAAACTTGTACTGATTCTGAAACTCGATTCCGGAATCTAGAAAATTTAATTGTAAAATGTGAAAAATTTCTTGAAATTTCCAAGATGTCTCCGCAATAAATATATAAACTTTATGGAAATTAAACTGAATCCTTTGTCTGCACTTGTTATAATCGAATTAACGATTTAAAAACCAACAGGCGTGTCGGTGCAACCTCAGTCGATGACACAAGCATTTTAAGAGACGATATCTTATGCTAGAAGCATAAGATATCGTCATTAAATGCATGTCGGAAGTTTCAAACGTTTTACACGCCGGACTCGTTTCTGCAAAAGACCGTGACCTATAAGTGCATTATTTGCATTATTATCACCGAAATCTTAAAGCACGTCGCGAGCAACGGCGACGTAATAATTGGCCGATTATTACTACGATAATTACGAGCACGTGAGACAGGCACGCTGACAACGTCTTTGTCGCTAAGATAGTTCCCTAATTAATTTAATATTTAGATACGTTAAACTTTAATCTTCGCGATAACGAAATCTCGAGTGTATCTTTCCGTATTTACCGTAACAAAAAATGTTATTAAAGATATGAATTGATATCAACAATGAGACTCTAATACAAACATTGGCTTTTAAACGATTAAACTAAAATGCATTCGATGTAAGCGACAGTTTCATTCATTATTTATTATTATTACTAAATTACAACGTCACAAAGCCGCAACTGTTATTAATTTCTTTTACCAGGATAGATTTACTGACGTCTTGCCATTTGTTATGTATAAATTTGATGCATTGCAATAAAGTATGAATTGAATTGAATTGAATTTATAAAATAAGTTTCACATCAATATCTCGAGGACTTCTCTGTGTGTTGCGGTTGTAACAAACAGAGATGCAGATAACTCAATGTCGAGTTGCAACTACGAATTACAAATGCAACTCCGTTCACGTTTTCGCTATTCTGCTCGCATGCAACTTTCTCCTTGATACTTCGACGAAACTCATCAATTAAAATGACTTCCAGAAATCAGGGCTGTCTTGCTATTTTTATACTTGCTATTGATCACAAAGAGAAACTAAAATAAATATGTCTAAACGCGTAAACTGCATGCAAATTGTTTTCCGAGAATCTAGATCTTTCTTTAGCAAAAAAAGATAGCGTTTACCGCTAGTTTTAAACTTTGAATATTAAATATTACATATAGATATAGATATTTCTGTAAATCCTCAAATTATCAATAATCAATTTATTAAAATCCGTTAAATTTAAATAAAGAATCTGTATTATTCATATCGAGAAATCCTTCATTCTTAATCATCAGAGATTATTACAATAAAACGATCCTTGTTAAAAAGGAATCGACCTAGAATTTATAAGCGATCAGTAAATTTAAAATGTCAAGTTCTATTTCCCTATCAGATATCAGAATAATGTGTCAAAGCAATTGCATCAAGTGTCTAGAAATTACGAGTTAATAAGAAGTGATTAATGGATTGCGCAATTTCGCGTGAGATAGCCGATGGGGTAATTATTTTTATTATTTTCTTACTGAAGATCATCACGCGTTTTCTTGTATCCTCTTCGATCTTGCTGTTCTCATAGTCGCTCTCGATGAAGTAGAAGATGGTAGCGCCCAGCGTCAGGTACGTGAGGAACAACAACAGCAGGGCGAGCCATTGCTTCTTGGACATTCTCGGATACTATCGGCGAAATGCTGGAGTCTGGCGGATATGATGTGGAGCAGAACGAGAGGAATAATTTTCAAGGGATGACGATTCTCGTGTCAGATAATTAGGAGGTTTCCGTTGAAGCGGCGAACACGCCGCGGCTACGCATTCTTGACATGATTTCCCGGTGATGAAGGCTGAACGGTCGATGGAGTGAGCTTTTTGGCTCGCTCGCCACAAGCGCACTAATCTTATGTTGTCGTATCGATTATGACGATTTCTCACGAGGGCGATGTTATCATTGCAGTTTGATATCTCCGATTCATCAGAAGTCTTCTTGACGATCTAGGCATCGCGTTGCGATAGCGTCTCGCTGTTAGGTGCCCGAAGAACTCTGCGACCAAAAGATCTTACAATATACGATACATGTAACGATACAGAAGTGCAGGACACTTTTGCAAAATTTGAAATATACAATGCTATAGTAATTTAATTTATATCAATATGTTAACGTAAACTATTATATAAAGTACATATTTTTAATTGATGCGCGAATTAAAACGTTAAGAATTTTGATAGATACAAAAAAATGATAACGTTTTTTATCCTCCAGAAGGGACAACGCTCTGTTAAAATTTCCTGAGACTATCTGACTGATTAGGTCTCGAGTTGCCAACTAAAAACAGCTAGCAATTTGATGGCTCGAAAAACTCGCAATTACCCGAGATGATCTACCTGGCGCACCTTCGTATGTCAAGCTACCAAAACCCTTCCCTCGTCAATGTCGGTTGCACAATACGTTCGGTCTCCGCTGGTGAATACCATATATCCCACCGGCCTGCTGGATCGCGGATAGCAATAGTGATCCACGTGGATCGTAATAGCGATCGATTCTTGCATTGGCAAGGATAATTTACGGCGTGAAACAACGTCGCGCGTGTCTCTCTCAAGTTCACGCTTCTCGTCTGGTCGCATGACTCGTCGCCGGTTCAAGCGCATAGAAATTTGCATAAGTGCATATCATGTAAGCTTGGGACGGGACAAAGTATTTCAGAATCAGCGGAAAGTCATGAGATCGTATGAAGTCGTATGGAAGAGCTTGTGTCGCTTATTGTAAGATTGGGAATCAGTCATTCCGCAATAAAAATGAATTAAATTGAATGAGGGCGATAAAGTGTCGACATTCGATGTCTTAATCAAAAGTTGAATTAAAAGTCAATAAATTATGTCGCAAGAAAGTGAGTCACATGATATTTCACGTCAATTCGCAATGTCAAGAATTAGCATACAAAACATTATTGCGTGACGTAGTAAAATGGAAAAAACTGTGACAGTCGAACGATCAGAAGACACATGCGTTCGATTCGTCTTGATCCTATTATTGCGTTATTACATATCCATAAATGAATACCATATAAATGATTTATAAGGCATGAGGAGTGTCTCGGTCGCAACAGTTGACGTGTCGATTTCTGTTTGCTAATAATGTCGATGTTTACATTGCTCGTTCGTACTGGTTCGAGAAAATTCACATTTGTTGCGAATAGAGACTCCTCGTAACGGAGCAATATCAAGTTTTAACCAGAGAGAGCTCTCATCTGTTGAATTTTGTCTCGAGTGTTAACAAAAATATATATATTAAAAGATGAACAGGTTCGTTTTCTCAAAAAATTAGGAGGATTACGTTTAAACGGATCCATCCTTAGTATCTCTTCACTCTCTCCGAGAATTCCGTCACTGAGTTTCCTTATCTTCCACCCGCACGACAAAAGAACAACGGATATCGTGAACCTTCAGTGACGTTAACTATCGTGCATCATGCTACTAGTATCGATGATCGCTTCTAATTGACGAGATAAATTTGCGGATGCGTGTATGAACATTTCCTTTATTCGCGAAACGGCACGAGTGACGATCAGTTTATCGCCTTATTCTTTCCTCAAGTTAGTCTTACTTCTTTGTATATCTAGCTAAAATGAGAAGCATATGATTCATTATAAAATACAGTTATAATTAACAGAATGTTGAAATAATCAAAACAGTTTGTCATGCTACTTTTTGTTTGGAGGTAATTTTTTTTTCAATAACGTTTAATAAAATATTTTCATACTTGGGAAATAAAATAAAGGAAATCCTAAAGCGACAAGTGGAGAGATATAAATGCGCGCTTTCAAGAGATAAGTTAACAATTAAATATTTTTATTGAAAAATTGAGATGTCTATTTAAATTTTTGAAGATTTATTTCGTTTTATAGTTGCAATGATAATTTTTTCGTAACGTGACTAATGATCTGATTTTTAGATGACTGTATTTGGTAATTTCAATTAGAGTTTAATTTATTATAATTTATCAAGATCGTTTTTTCGCTTATGATGACACGTATATAACAAAATCGTAATCTTAGGCTTATATTCCTGTGTGTTATCCTTAGATAAAGAGGCCTTATTTGATCTTTCATTGAAATTAATAATTGTGAATCACACGCAGAGCCTGTAACTTTGAAACATAATGACGCACTTTAATGTAAATAGGTTGAAATGATTAGTTGAATGACGTTTTACGACAGCATTTTAACTCGAATACTTTTATGGCTGTTAACGACCACTTAACAACTGTTATTATCTTCCATTTACTGCACACGTCGTGTCGGTCACGACTGCGGTTAAAATATGCCGATACTAACGCACATGCGGTAATTAGTTAACAATTAATGTGTAAAACAGTTTGTCGGGAAGAAATATGAAGTATTAATCACGCGTCTCACATTATTTATCGATCAACTTAAATAAACGAGCAAATAAATTCTAATAACTGATCCTTAAAAAATTGAATGCAATGGTATTTCGTGGAATTTGATCACATTACATTATTAGAAAGATAGTTTGTACTGTTTGTTAGTACTGATGGTCTAATTAATATTATTAATTATATCATATCGATGTTATAAAGAGAATGAATTTGCTTTAAGTATAAATTATAAAAAAGCTAAACTTTTAATTATAAAACTGCTAAATTTTTATTAAACGTAACAAAATTCAATTTAAATTATTTTACTAAAAAGATTAAAGAAGAAAATTCTTGCCAATTGTACAGAGTTTATTTAAAAGTAAGACTTGCTTAAATAATATTCGATATCTAAAAGCAATATTCGTTTCTTTACTGCTAGTTATAAAGTCGATGTATTCTTTAATAAATCATACAATTTTTGGACATTAATTAAAATGAACATATGTCCAACATCAATCATTAATATCGATCGAAAAATATTCTCCGTAAGACAGCATTACGAAGTAGTAATTCTAACAATTACACGAGATATACATTGTAATTATGAGACCGTAATTATTGAAAAGTAGAATTGATAGCATATTGACCGTTTCATCTCGGTGATAACGTTTTAAGATTGACGCCGATACGCTATCAAATACTTTTTCACGTTTCTTGAATTTTTCATTAATCGTTGTTGCAATACCCAACGGTTGCACTTAATAATTTTTAAATATACTTGTTTACTTTCCACTTTAAAGATTTTTTGTAAAAAAAAAAAACAGTTGCACATGGTGCACGAGAAACTGTAGATGAACAAAGAAATCATTATTACTTTAATTTAATTCATTTTTATATAAATGTATATACTTTTGTTAATTTTAATATAGATGTATACACTTTAAATTTTTACAACGAACACTTAAGATATTTTTTGTTAATATTTTAAATGGTTTAATGCAATAAATATATTTATAAATCGTTAATTCGACAAAAGAACACTGAATCAATTAAAATTATAAAATAACTTATTAATATATTAATAAGTTGTCATATATACTGAGAAAAAAAAGTCAAAATATTCGTAAGTAAATGTTATACGTAAAAGTATATGTGACATTTTCTTCGATATTTGATTATAAAAAAATTTGACTGTGATGAAATATACATTTCTGTAAAATAAACATTATATCCCATAACTAAATTGTTAAGTATCTTTTTCTTAGTGTATAAAAATCTCAAAATTCGATAACACATTTAAAAAGCTTTCATATATTAAATGTTTTTTAAAGTTGTATAATAATAAGAGTAAAATTAGAAGATAAAATTATACACCTATCTATTTAAAATATTATATTTAGAATGTATATATTTAATTAATATATATGACAAATATGTACGCTGTAATTTTAATCTTTAAATAAGATAATATTTTTTATCCTAATCCAATAGTGCTATTTATGTTTCACAAGAATAAAACATATAATCGATATCTGAATATATTATATATGGATATGTTAAATATAAATTTTCCACAATTCGATAATACATATATATATATATAAATAAAAGACGCGCTTCACACACATATATTGAATGTCAATAATGTTAATCCTAAGATATCATTATTCTTTACCTTTATCGTCTTACTTAATCGCTTAATACTCACCTGTCTCATCCGTTGTATACTGTTCGTCGCACATATCTGCGTTAAACCGACGATCCACATTTTGTAATAATGTTCATAATCACAGTCGCGGAACTCTTTGAATTCTATTTTCGGACGGCAGGATTAAAATTCTATTGACAAAAGTGGGCGATTCTGTTGTTAAAATTTAGTTATCTGCCAGTTTGATGGATGAGCGCGATCGAGTACTTGGCCGAATGGAGACTATCCGTAATCAAGAGCAGCACTATACGAAAGATCGTCCGGATGGTGGGAGGACCGAAAGTTCTATATTGCTCATCAAAATGATCTTCTTAAACAATATGTTAGATGCTGTAAAAATATAAGGCAATAGAGAAAATATTTTCAATATAATTAAATAAACCAATTGCAAATGCATATAAATGGTTATATCATCTGCTTTAAAGATAGAATATAAAAAAAGCTCAAAATTTAAAAACATCATCGCTTCAATTCGTTTTTAATACAAGGCCAGCCATTTCGATCACGTGTAACTGTATTATCTGCTACATTTCGCGTCTCGTACTTAGCTGTGTTAATGCGTCTGTTTAATCAGCGACCGAACGCTAATAATAGTTCCTTTTTAAGCCATGAGAATTCGATCGAAAAAAAGTATTGAATTTATTCGAAAGGTGAAACAATATAATTTATTTTATTATTTTAATAACTTCCGAAATATTAATTTAGATTAATTTAATTAAGGCTTAGGAATTTAATTTCCTAAGCCTTAATTATATTTTTCTTGGTCTTTAGATCAAATGTTGCATCTTTTATTTTCACCAAATTCGCTTAAAC